AATTTTATTTACCATTGGATTGAATGCCTTTTTCTATCTTTAAATAAAACCGTTATTTAAAGGATTAAACGTATATCGCAAGGATTAAATTTTGCTACAAACGGCTTGCCATAAACGGGCCTAAGGTTGCTGAATTTGTTGCTGTTTGTCCTTAACCGGTTGCTATAATGATGGAACACGAGTGTTTTGATTTCCTGCAATTCAGTCTTGATGTTCAGGTTTCAGATATACTGAAATTTTTGCACTGCCTCGATAGAATGCAAGCAGGCGAAGCCTTTCAATATTTTTTACCGGTTTTTTCCAAGGCAGCGATTGACATTGCCGAGGGACTTGAATTTTTGCATTAAAGGAATGTGGTACACCGCGACTTGAAACCATAGAATGTCTATTTTAGGGGCCATATATGGTTATGTCCCACGCTACACGTTGGACGCGTCGCGATAATTCTCACGGAAGTTTGAAGTAACCGAGAGCGACTTTCACCAAAATCTGTTAGTTTGCAGACCACTGCAGGCTCAACACCAAACAAATCTTCAAATTGATCTCTGCTGACTTCCGGTCGCACGTAAAGCTTGTTACTGTCTGTGCAGCTGTTTTAAATATCCTCTCAAAAACATCCTTTTTAACAACACCAAATGTCGAAAACAAATTTTTCGAGAACCACGTTTTCGAAAGGTGCTTACCATTTACAAAAACCATCCGGTTGGAAATTTCAGGCTTATACATTAAACAATTAAATGCGACGTTGCGGGAGAGGGAATCGCTATAAAGTATATCCACATCAACTAGAGAGACTTAAAAGAGCAGAAAAATAGCATCACCCTAGATCACAGCCCATATTTTCTGAAGCTTCTCTAACGGAATAGCGCGAACTATTTGATTTTCCAACTGGAATTTCTGGTTTTCCCATGTAAATGGTAAGTATCCCTATAGGTCTCCGTTTTCTACGCCTGCGTTTTCGAGGTCTGCGGTATGCGGCCTGAGTTTTCGAGGTCTGTGTTTTTGAGACATCCGTTTGAGTTGTTAATGATTAATCTGTTATGCTAGTCAATATCTTTGAGACAAAAATCCCGACTAATTCAATTCTGATCGAATAGCCTGTAATTCCAAATTCCTCTGCAAAGCTTCCAAACATTTTATGTCGCTTGCATGACTGGAGTCTGTAAAACACGTCAAATACGAAACACTTATTCCTTAAATAGTGAATGTCGAGTACCAAAGGTCAGTTTATAATTCTTCCAATGTCTCATTAATATGTCTCGCTCATACTGTAGCTGCAAAGACTCCTCCCCGTCTGCGGTTTCTATCGCGTCTAAATACTCGAAAATAGAAGGGAATAGCTCTGCAGAATTTAGTAAAATCGTCCAAATGCGTCTCAGTTACTACAGTGATATCGAAGTTGTTGTTATCATCAGCTCGTAAGGATGGCGATTTTAACTTACCAGAGATCGAGCGTTAAAATAGACCACGGTCAGCTTTCGACTTGGACTGAGATTGAACTCATGTCGCCTCCTACTAGTAGCAAACTTGTGAGGCTTGGACGAATGCCATGGTGGTACC